TATAATATTTATTTATTTGTTATTGTGTGTTCGTGAATAAGCACCATAAATAGCAAATGTTGAAATTTTTTTTTGTGATCGGAAGAATATCTCTTAATCATTTTATATATTGTCAATACATGATTAACTTGGACTGTTAATGTTTATACATCGAGAGAAGCAGAGAAAGAGTACATATGCATTTGCTTCAGTTACGCCACTGACCGTGTCATTTCTTTATCGCACGTTGAGACATAGTTTATATAAACAAACTCCCAGCCATAGCAAAAAGCGGAAGTTGGAAACGACGAGCGGCGCGGGGGGAATCACTTGTTTGGGTGGCGAGACGAAACAGTTGCGATTGCGAAATGCGAAGCCAATTCGAAAAAAACTGTTGAAGAGTGAGTGTCATTGAGGATATATATCTCCAAATTTTAAAAATTGGACCAAGTTACAATAATTGTTGCCAGGTAAGTGCAGATATTTTGGATTTGCATATACAGGGTGATTCAAGAAAATAAATGAAAGCGTAAATTTATTTTACTGATTTACTCAGGAACTACAAAACCGAATGCTTCGAAATCTTGAAGATATTTTAAAATTATCATAAGCATGGTAAATTTTTGATCAAAACGTATTTGGTCGTCCCCCCTAAAAAAATTATGACGTCACCACAAAATTTTGCTGAATAAATCCTATCTAAAATGTACAAAATATGGTGAGTCTCTTCTTGTAATTTGTCATTCCATTCAAATTTTTTCGATTTGCATAAACAGGGTGACTCAAAAAAATTAATGAATGCGTAAATTTATTTTATTGATTTAATCAGGAACTACAAAACCGAATGCTTTGAAATCTTGCAGATGTTTTAAGGTTATAAAGAGCATAATAAATTTTTAGTCAAAATATATTTGGTTATTTATCTTCTACAAAAAACTGATGACGTCAGCTCAAAAGTTTGCCGAATAAATCGTATCTAAAATGTACAAAATATGATGAGTCTGTACTTGTGATTTATCATTCCATTCATATTTTTGGATTTGCATATGCAGGGTGACTCAAAAAAATTAATGAAGGCGTGAATTTATTTTATCGATTTAATCAGGAATTACAAAACCGAATGCTTTGAAATCTTGGGCATATTCTAAAGTTATTATAAGCATGGTAAACTTTTGTTCAAAATGTATTTGTTCATCCCTCCTAAAAAAATTGATGACGTCACCCTTAAATTTTGCTGAATAAATCCTATCTAAAATGCAAAAAATATGATGAGTTTGTACTTGTGATTTATCATTCCATTCATATTTTTTAGATTTTCTTAAGAGGTGGTTAAAAAAAATTAATGAAGTCAATTTATTTTATTGATTAAATTAAAGGCAACACTTATTATTAGTATTACACCCCAACCAACCCAATTTGGTAGACAAAAAATTTGTTAAAGGAAAAACTCGGTTGAAACATAAGGGTAGCATGCTTATTTACATCGACCTTAACATTACAGACCTGCATTTGTTTTATGCGTTCACTTGGTTCCGCGAATGTGAAATAGACATGTTTATAATCAACCAATTGTGAATTTCACCGTCAAGAATTAAAATAAAACCCAATGTTTTATATAATAAGCGGAAGTCGAAGCAATAAAACCGATGGTCGTTTTGTTTACAGTTTCTCTGTTTGACTCTCAAGTATGCTGTTACGCCTGTCATCTTAAATTAAGAATGTTTATACATACACGATTTTCAGCTGCCTGGGATACGTATACGTGAGTAAATTGTTTCGTTATTTTATTGATTATTACAAATCAATATTCAAAACGACCCAATTCATTTTCCCGAAAATTTGAGAATATAATAATTTTATTCTTAGTATTACACTACATCTATCCCAAACTGATATACGTGTCCTTGCAAAAATGTTGATGACGTCATCGCAATTTTTTTTTAAATTCCCACTACAAAAATGTAATGAGAAAAAACACAATAGGCATGCAGTCGTCAAGTTTCCGACAGCGAGGGAAGTACTGTCTAAACTCTTTAGACCAATTTTTTATATAAGACATTGGATTTTATTTTAATTTTTGATGGTGTAATTGATTGGTTGATTATAAATTGTCTATACCACATTCATGAACCCTATTCAGCACAACAAAACAAATGCACGTCTGTAATGTTAAAATAAATGTAAATAAGCGTGCTACGCCTATGTTTCAAATGAGTTTTTACTTTACAAAATTTTGTGTCTATCAAATTGGGTTGGTGCAATATAATACTAATAATAACAGTGCTTTCGGGAAAATGGAGCGAACTATTCCTGATTTAATCAATAAAATAAATGGAATCTTTCATTAATTTTTTGAGCGATCTGTTAAGCAAATCTAAAAAAATATGAAAGGAATGATAAATCATAAGTATTGTCTCATCATACTTTGCAGATTTAAGATAGGATTTATTCAACAAAATTTTGAGGTGACTTCATCAATTTTTTGGAAGGGACAAGTAAATATATTTTGAATAAAAATTTATCATGATTATCATAACTGTAAATCATCTACAAGATTTCAAAGCATTCGGTTTTGCAGAATACAAATTAAAATGCAAAAAGTTGCTTCATAATTTTGATTTTTACTTCCCGAGCGTAAGCAAAGGAAGTATTGTAATCGAGTCCGTCGGCCGACTCTCTACTTTTACGTTTTCTCGATCTTTCATGACCCGTAGAAGACGAAGAAATAGGTCTCCCATTTCCGTCAGTCTGTCCGTCTATCCGTCTGTCCGTCTGTCCGTCTGTCCGTCTGTCCGTCTGTCCGTCTGTCCGTCTGTCCGTCCGTCTGTCTGTCTGTCTGCCGTCCCGGATTTTTATTAGACAGATAATCTCCGAAAGTACTGGACCGATTGTTGTGAAATTTTGTAGTTATATTAGGAATATTATGTAGATGGTAAAACGCTAACCAAAATTTGTCTAATCATCCCCGCCACTAATGTGATGACGTCACTTCAAAATTGTACATAGTAAATGGGTTTTAAATTGTATAAAATAATATAGTCCTAAACATGTAATTTACCACTTCGAATTGAGTTTTTACCTGAAACGTCCAGATTTTTGGAAAAAAAATCAAAATTATAAAACAATATTTTGCAATTTAATTTTGAATTTGCTAATCCGAATGTTTTGAAATGTTGCAGATGTTTTAAGGCTATAAAGGTCATCATAAATCTTTACTCAAAATATATTTGGTTATCCCCTCCAAAAAATTGATGACGTCAGCTCGAAAGTTTGCCGAATAAATTCTATCTAAACTGTACAAAATATGATGAGTCTGTACTTGTAATTTATCACTCCACTCATATTTTTTGGATTTGCATATACAGGGTGACTCAAAAAAATTAATGAATGTGTAAATTTATTTTATTGATTTACTCAGGAACTACAAAACCGAATGCTTTGAAATCTTGAAGGTGTTTTAAAGTTATCATAAGCATGGTAAGTTTTTGTTTATGTACATTAGAAATATCGTGTAGATGACAAAACGTTAACTAAAATTTCCTGATCTTCTAACTTTTACAATAGTACATGTTACTTAAATTTTATCAAATAACATACTCCTCCACTTGTAGTTTATGAACCTGTGTTGGGTTTTTAGCTAGGTATCCCGTTTTTTCTAGAAGAAAAATGAAAACTTTATAACAACATTTTACAAATTCAAATTGTAAAACCGGATGTTCTAAAACCTTGCAAACGTTTTAAGGTACCGGAAATATGGTAAATCGTTAATCAAAATTTATCCGTTACAACCCTCTTAAAATCTGATAACGTCATCTCACAAATTTACATAGTAAATATTATTGGTATTTAATAAAATAACATACTCTTGGATGTGTGATTTTTAAATTCATTTTGAGTTATTACCCGAGACATGGAGATTTTTGTAAAAAAAAAAATTTTAATTGTGTAATAACTTTTTGTAATTTACATTTACATTCATGCCTTTTGTATTGATTATACAAGGTGATTCAAAGAAATGAATGAGGTGACATGTTTTATTGCCCATCCCATTTTCCTGAAAATTTTAACTTACAGAATACTGTTCTTGCTAATGACGTCATCAGGATTTTTACCTACCGAGTATTATATATACTTATATACACATTCAAATCAAACTAACTTCTACGTGACCTTCCTTCAATATATAAACTTAAATAAGCACTTGCACTTCAGATTGCTATTACCTACCACTGAAGGACCAGGGATGTTATTTATGCCTCGGGTTGTTACTTTACAGTGGTTATCCCAAAGCGAAAATCGTAAAATCGAATTTTCTATTCATTTTCAAGAGCTGGATTTGTTGGATTATTCTTATAGCCTTCGATCAATTTTAGATGTGCTTATACAGGTCACTCAAAAAATTAATGAATCAGTCAATTTATTTTTTTGATTAAATCAGGAACGGTTTATTCCATTTTGCGAGAAAATTTTGGGAATACAATACTGTTATTTTTAGTATTACACTGCACCAATCCAAGTTGATATACGTGTCGCTGCTAAAACGCGAAAATGCTGGATATGCTTCACTGTACTTCAGAAACCAGGGAAGTTCTGTCGAAACAACTTCGACCAATTTCTTCACTCGAAGTAAATTTCATAGGGATGCAGTGTGTTCAAAACAGCAAAATAACACAATGATGATCAGAATCAGCAAATAAATTACACATCAAATATCCAGACGTTACGATGCTTTTCAATAATCAAGCACTAATACAACAAGGACGCCCCTAAGTGCACCGTATAATTTAATTTGTATCAAATTTATTAATTTCCTTAAATTGCCACCCCACTAATTATACACTGCGCGCCAACTTTTCCAAACACTAATTTGGGCCAATTATTTTTTGGAGCCCTTCTTAATTTATAATGCAGTCACATGGCTGCCGTAATTATTTATAAAACCGTAGCGCTACTTATTGCTAGTACAAACAATCACGACAGACAGTAGACACACATAATTAAAAAAAACAACAAAAATCACTATGTACAACCTGGTGAAAAAATCATTTCGTGTCCACTTATATGTAATGCGTATTCTTGGCCACTACCCCACACGAAAACACCAAACACTGTACAAAATATACGCGTACTTCGTTTATTGCGTCTTTACAATACCCGTCCCCACCCTGGCGAGTGTCTACTTACTAACCGAAAAAAACGTGGACTTGGCTCAACTATCAGACAGCGCTTTCCTTATCTGCCAAGTCGGATGTTTCATAGCCAAATTCGTCCCCTTTTGGAAAAACTCAGACAAAATCAGACAAAGCATCTACATGTTAGAGGAGCCAATCTTCAGCCAACATTCCCCAAAACAAGAAACAATTTTAAGCGAATGTGTAAGAATATGCAGACGTAACTGCTGGTTGAACCTGTCTCTGGTGGCAATGGCTTTTGCAAGCTGGTCTACAGCACCGTTTGCTAGAAACATGGGAGCTTATAATCTACCGATAAAAGTTTGGCTGCCGTACGATTTTACAGTTAACGAGAAAATATTTTACTTGACGTATTTATTTGTTATCGCTGGTGGGTTTTTAGAAAATTTGGAAAAAATAAAATAGTGAGAGCTTTCTAGGTGTTGGTAATGGAGCTTTCGCGAGCGGGGTAATAGACCCGTTGGTAGCGGGTTTGGCGTATCAGGCAACCGCACAACTGAAAATACTGAAACATAATCTTCAGTTTTTGAGCGAACACCTGGATGAAGAAATTGTTGATGTTACGAATTGTTTAAACAAACAAGAGTTGTTGTATGGGAGAATTAAAATGTGCATTAAACATCACAACGCGATTTTAAAGTACTGTTTTAACTGTAAAATAACGTATTTTGACAACCTCTTTTCAGATTCGTGTATTTGTATGAAGACACGTACTCAGCGGTCGTTTTTACTCAATTTTTTGCCAGTGTTCTGGTCATATGTAACGCATGTTTGCAGCTAAGTATGGTACGTATAATAAAAACGATAAAATAACGTATATTTTATTTTTGCGTGGTTGCAGGTGCAGCCATTTACGTACGCCTTCTTCGCCATGGTTTCGTTTCTAGTAACTATGTTAACTGAAATTTTCCTGTTTTCATATTATGGGACAACACTATTTGAAGAAGTGTGTTGGATACGTAGGAATATACGTTTTAATATAACTAAATCCTATCTTTCAGAGTAATACAGTCATTGATGCTATTTATATGGGACAGTGGTATGACTACGACGTTAAATCCAAAGAAGCTTTAATCATACTGATGGAACGATGTAAAAAACCCATGGTTGTGACTGCGGGAAAAATTTTGGACCTGTCTTTAGTAACTTTTACAACTGTATTTTCAGCACTTAATATCACATTTTCGTTTAAATTTGAGCATATTTTGTTGTAGATTTTAAGAAGAGCCTATTCGTTGCTCGCTGTTCTGAAGAATTACTGAATCCACACGTGTGTAATATTCGAGAAGAGAATCCACAATGTGTTCAAGAGTTTCAAATGTTTTCTCATTTTGATTGCCGAAGTATAGAACTAGTGTTAAGTCAATAAGTAGGTTCGCTTGTACACATCAGGCTCCAACTGTGTATAATCAGAAATATTCATCTTATTTGTTATTAAAAATTGCATAAAAAGTAGTTCTTCCATGATTAGGCACCTTAAAAATTTTAACCAAAATAAATGAGCATCAAACCAGACGGAATCCTTTTTCGGTGGTACCTTGGCAAGAATAATGGAGGTCTTACTGTGCAAAGACGATTTCTCGCTTTGGTTGAGGTGATATGATATAGACCAGACTTAGAGGGAATTCTGTTACCATCAATAATTTGAAAACGTGAAACAATCTATTAGAATAGGTGGAGGCGCCAGGATAAAAATGCAATTATTTCCGTTTTTCAGGCCATTTCGGAAATATAAGCGCAACTGATTTGAACAGTTACTTTAAAATTAAGTTAAATTAGGAAAAATATAAAAAAAATTGATCGAAGGTTATTTCGATAGAACTTCCCTCGTCTCTAAAGTACAGTTGAACAAATGCAGCTTTTCGAAAAACAGTTAGATGCCCTTAATAAGGCTTTGTAAACCAACAAGAAATAATATCAATAATCACGGAATGAGGCAGAAAATCATATTATTATAAACGAAATAATAATTCCTCAAACAAGTAAAAGACAAATTTTGGTTAACGTCTAACCATCTACACCGAATTCCCAATAAATGCACATACAAAATTTGACAACAATCGGTTCGGTAGTTTATACGATTATCTGCCTAATAAAAATCGACACAAACGCGGACAGACGGCAGACCTATGCTTTCTAGTGTGCAAACGTTTTCTCATCTGAACATTTCTTTATCTAACTAGGTAGTACTTCGTCGCACAAATTTTTAAGCTGATCACGTCGTCTGAATAACCGAGTCCAAAACTTTTGGTAGGTTTTACCAGCCACCTGTGGTCTCTCCATTCTGTAGTCCACCTTTTCATAAATCTTATATGCTCTTAGTAGTCTTTTCTTGTATACCTATTGTATATAGGTATATATTTAGTATAAGTATCTAGATACTTGTATCTAAATAAAGTAACTAGACACATTTTTGGGTATCTAGTATCTGTATCTAGATAAAATCGAATTTAAGCACAAAATATCTGTATCTAGATACAAAATTAATGGCGCAGATACAGATACACTTTTTTATTTCACTTTTTTTTCGGTAGTTATTAGTTGAGTTATACTAGTGGTAATTTTTGATACTTCATGTTGGTGATTTTGGTCACATAAACAAAAATAGAGGTAAGTCCACTAATAGTGTTCTGTCACGGAAATTTTCATATTTTAAATACCATCATTTCCTACATTGTAGTCTTCAGTACTTATACATCTTTAAATATAATCCTGAGGGGTAATAAATCTAAGCCATGGTAAGATGGTATTTTAAAATTCTTAAACCACAATTCACTATTCACTGCGTTTTACGCTTATTGGGGCAATGCATTTTGTTTGTGTACCTGAGCAACCCGGTTCCGGTGGGCCCGCTGGTTGTATTGGTGTTATTAAATAAGAGTAATTTTAATAGTAAAAATATTTGTTTAAGGTATGTTATTATTTTTAGAACATAATAATTGCGTGTTACATAATGATTAATTTTTTCAATTAGCACAAATTAGTTCTGTAATCGACTAACCGAATGTTCAATACATACATTTCTCTCGCATAAATCGCATATTTGTTACTGTTTTATACCTTTATTTTTCAGACAAATGTAGCATCTTTTCCTGTTGCCACATGTGTCATTTCTTCATTTTTTCATTGTTGGACCTAACGCGAGGCGGGCTTGGCAGGTCCGTTTTGCCCTAGAATGTGCCGATTATGTTCAAGTGTAAACCTTGGACAATAAAATTAATATTTTTACAACCCTCGGTAGAATAATTTAACATGATATACTCTCAGAAATCGTGAAACGAGATTAAAATAAAATGAGTTTCAACAAAAATCTGAAAATTTTAAGTTGCACTCGGGTGATTTCGGCCTGCCAGGCAGCCTTTGATCCTATAAGGGGTTTAAATACCTTTCTAAAAAATTGGTCTAAAGAGTTTAGACAGTACTTCCCTCGCTGTCGGAAACTTGACGACTGCATGCCTATTGTGTTTTTTTTCTCATTACATTTTTGTAGTGGGAATTTAAAAAAAAATTGCGATGACGTCATCAACATTTTTGCAAGGACACGTATATCAGTTGGGATAGATGTAGTGTAATACTAAGAATAAAATTATTATATTCTCAAATTTTCGGGAAAATGAATTGGGTCGTTTTGAATATTGATATGTAATAATCAATAAAATAACGAAACAATTTACTCACGTATACGTATCAGAGGCAACTGAAAATCGTGTATGTATAAACATTCTTAATTTAAGATGACAGGCGTAACAGCATACGTGAGAGTCAAACAGAGAAACTGTAAACAAAACGACAATCGGTTTTATTGCTTCGACTTCCGCTTATTATATAAAACATTGGGTTTTATTTTAATTCTTGACGGTGAAATTCACAATTGGTTGATTATAAACATGTCTATTTCACATTCGCGGAACCAAGTGAGCGCATAAAACAAATGCAGGTCTGTAATGTTAAAGTCGATGTAAATAAGCGTGCTACCCTTATGTTTCAACCGAGTTTTTCCTTTAACAAATTTTGTGTCTACCAAATTGGGTTGGTTGGGGTGTAATACTAATAATAAGTGTTGCCTATAATTTAATCAATAAAATAAATTGACTTCATTAATTTTTTTGAACCACCTCTTAAGAAAATCTAAAAAATATGAATGGAATGATAAATCACAAGTACAAACTCATCATATTTTTTGCATTTTAGATAGGATTTATTCAGCAAAATTTTAGGGGTGACGTCATCAATTTTTTTAGGAGGGATGAACAAATACATTTTGAACAAAAATTTACCATGCTTATAATAACTTTAAAATATTCCCAAGATTTCAAAGCATTCGGTTTTGTAGTTCCTGATTAAATCAATAAAATAAATTTACGCATTCATTAATTTTTTTGAGTCACCCTGTATATGCAAATCGAAAAAATTTGAATGGAATGATAAACCACAAGAAGAGACTCACCATATTTTGTACATTTTAGATAGGATTTATTCAGCAAAATTTTGTGGTGACATCATAAATTTTTTAGGGGGGACGACCAAATACGTTTTGATCAAAAATTTACCATGCTTATGATAATTTTAAAATATCTTCAAGATTTCAAAGCATTCAGTTTTGTAGTTCCTGAGTAAATCAGTAAAATAAATTTACGCTTTCATTTATTTTCTTGAATCACCCTGTATATGCAAATCCAAAAAATATGAATGGAGTGATAGATCACAAGTACAGACTGATCATATTTTGTACATTTTAGATATGATTTATTCGGCAAATTTTCGAGCTGACGTCATCAAGTTTTTGGAGGGGATAAGCAAATATATTTTGACTAAACATTTATTATGCTCTTTATAACCTTAAAACATCTGCAAGATGTCAGAGCATTCCGTTTTGTAGTTCCTGATTAAATCAATAAAATATATTTACGCATTCATTAATTTTTTTGAGTCACTCTGTATATGCAAATCCAAAAAATATGAATGGAGTGATAAATGACAAGTACAGGCTCATCATATTTTGTACATTTTAGATATGATTTATTCGGCAAACTTTCGAGCTGACGTCATCAAGTTTTTGGAGGGGATAAGCAAATATATTTTGACTAAACATTTATTATGCTCTTTATAACCTTAAAACATCTGCAAGATGTCAGAGCATTCCGTTTTGTAGTTCCTGATTAAATCAATAAAATATATTTACGCATTCATTAATTTTTTTGAGTCACTCTGTATATGCAAATCCAAAAAATATGAATGGAGTGATAAATGACAAGTACAGACTCATCATATTTTGTACATTTTAGATATGATTTATTCCACAAACTTTTGAGCTGACGTCATCAAGTTTTTGGAGGGGATAAGCAAATATTTTTTGACTAAAGATTTATGATGCTCTTTATAGCCTTAAAACATCTGCAACATTTCAAAGCATTCTGGTTAGCAGATTAAAAATTAAATTTCAAAATGTTGTTTTATAATTTTGATTTTTTTTCCAAAAATCTGGACGTTTCGGGTGAAAAGTCGATTCAGAGTTGTAAACTACATGTGTAGGACTATGTTATTTTATACAATTGAAAACCCATTTACTATGTACAATTTTGAAGTGACGTCATCGCATTTGTGGTGGGGATGATTAGACAAATTTTGGTTAGCGTTTTACCATCTACATGATATTCTTAATATAAGTACAAAATTTCGCAACAATCGGTCGAGTACTTTCGGAGATTATCTGTCTAATAAAAATCCGGGACAACAGACGGACAGACGGACGGACAGACAGACGGAAATGGGAGACCTATTTCTTCGTCTTCTAGGGGTCATGAAAGATCGAGAAAACGTAAAAGTAGAGAGTCGGCCGACGGACTCGATTACAATACTTCCTTTGCTTACGCTCGGGAAGTAAAAACTGTACTTATTTTGCCTTAAACGGAACCAGCAATTCTTCCTAAAATGTATGTACCTGCCGCACCGGAATAGACATGGTCATAAAAACATCGTAAGCCGATATTGAAGAATAATAATCTATGACAGGTTGCCGACAACAGACCTTCAGCACATATTCCCGTATTCTTTTGAAATATTAATTTTAATACTGGAGATAATTATTAAATATACTCAAACACAATTTGGACACTGTAGTATGGGAATAAAAACAAAAAAAAAAAAAAAATTCTTATTAAGCGTCCGTAATAAATATTGCACAATATGCGATACATCAAACAGCGAAGCGATGGCCTATTTACAGGAAAAAAGAAAAGATTTTTCAGTCTTGAATAACTAT